AAATTGATTATGAATGCTATTTTAAATTTATAAAGGTCGTTTTAAAATATTTTAGGTTTGGTCATGATAATTAGAAATTACTTAGAATAACTTCTGAAATTAATCACCCAACGCAGTCCCTTCAAGAAAGACCCATTTAAAATACTCCTATGATTCTTAATATAAGACTTAATTAACTAATTTGAATAGATTAAGAATATTAGTTAAATTATTTAATGTGATATGTTATTTCTAAAAGACCCTAAGCATCTTTCTTAATTCTCTTCCTCCCACTCTTGCACAATTATTATTTGAAAAATATCAATAGCGTTAATTTGAGAAAAAATTAATAAATATGTGAAATAAATATTACATATCGGACCAATATCAACTCCACAATTAGTTCATATATTAAGGACTGGAGGAGTAAATTAGTATATATCTTATCTAAATTGATTTTAATTTTATTGTTTTATTTATTTATGCTCTTAAATAAAAAAGTCCAATGAGAAGAGAATTGCACATCTTGATCTTTTCAGTCACCTTATATAACTATAATAATAGCCACACGCTTTCGGTCCCAAAGAAGATAAGATAGAAACTTCGGTGCTCTCTTGCGGATTGATTAGAGTTTTTTTTTTTTGCGTGGAAAAATGATCAAATAATAAAAATAAAAGATAGTATTCTAGCAAGTATAGAACTGAAGTGAAATAAAAATGAGAAAATTTAGATAATACAAAGAGCGAAGCATGGCTACTACTACTCTAAATGAGAGAGTATTTAACAAAGAAAGGTGATGTCCTTTCAAGATAATCTCATTATAATATTGTCTTTGCAGTTGTAAAGCTGAGCAACTTGTTTGATGGAGGCCAAGATTTGAAGCGATTGATTACTCGAAGTAATTTAGTTGATGAAAATTAAAAATTTATTTCATAGAAATTATAAGGATGTTTGATATAAAAATATTATGTGTTGTAATAAGCAGAGGAAGGAGTAATTTTTTGTAATAGCTTTTCTTTGCATTAGGAGTCTCTCTCAGACCCTCACACACTTTCATTCATGTAACTTTTGAAAACGACATAAGGAAAGTAATTAATTTTTCATACAAGTAAATGCAAAATAAGAATTCTGAAATTTCAGAGAATTGTACCTTGAGAAAAGTAAATATCAGAAGAATTACAAACTCGTACCAGCAGTTAACTGGAACGCACTGATTTCTTCAACTTTATCAACTTTGATTTCATATTTTGGGGTCCATTAGAAAGGACAAAGAAAGAGCCTTATCACCTCCTAGCTCCAACCGAGCTGACGACCCGAGTTTATTGAAATTCTCTCATATGAAAATCTCATTTTCTTTGCCTCCAAGTTTTTCATTTTCCGATCACTGTTTTCTATTTTAGAGAGGGAAAGAAAGAGCACTATGATTTCCAACCAAGTTGACGACTCACCAAGATCATGAAGAGTCTGGTGATTGCAGTGGAATTCTGTTCATCTGGTTTTTGAAACTTTGCAAGCCAAGAATCTCAAACCGAATTCAGGTATGAAAACCAAACCCTCGTTAATTAGTCTTTCATTTTCTGGAGCTGTCACTTACAGACTACATTTGTTATTTGTTCTTCTTTCAAATGCAATCTAAAACAGTCGATAGCTCCTTTAGTGTCTAAAAATAGCTACAATTAGTTTACATCTCATGGCAAGAAAGTTACAACGATTGATCTTTCTTATTTTTCAGATTCTGCAAATTTACCTCTTTCATCATCAGCTTGCTGTTACATATTTGAAGATGAAGACAATAGATGATTGCTCTTCGTGGAATAGAATTTTGATTTTGAAACGGTACGCAACTGAGCTTGGAAGAAAAATAGCTTTACATTAAATAAGTTAATATTTCAGGATTTTTCAAGCACACATGTTCTATCTTTATTAAAATATTTTAATATTATCTCTCAAAAATTTTCAGGATGCTTGAAGAAGAGAAAGAGAATCAAATCACTAAGTTTTATATGTTTTATATGCATTTTATTTTATTGAAGTACATTTTTTTTCAATTTGCTTCAAACACTTTTACATTTATATATTTATTAAATAAAGTAGAAAAATTGCTAAAATCCCTCATTAAAATATTTATTAGTTAAAGGTACTTGAAATTTGTTTAAGGATCAAAGTGCAACTCATCCTCGGCATGAGTGGCAAAAAAAAAAAAAAAAACTTATCCTTGTCATGTGTTGGCCAAAAAAAAAAAACCTTATTCTTGGCAGATGAGACACTTTTTCAGCTATATGAAAAATAGAAGACATTTACATATAAGTAAAGATACGTTGAACATTGAAAAAGAGTTGCATCTAGTCAACTCAAGTCAGAACACTTTCAAAATAATGATTTCTTTATTTATTTGCCCTTTTTTGTTTGCCAAACTAGTAAACGAACTTGTTAAAAAATCAGTACATCTACCACCTGTACTATGTAGGAATTTCATAAGATACTAGTTCTAACATATTTTACCAGATCTGGTCATCGCAGTGCAATTCTGTGATTACTCTCCAAAATCTCCAAGCCCCGACTGAAAGTGTAATTTCATCTATCACAGGTATGAAGTAACATCCCTCTCCTGAATTTATTTAAACACTTTCAATGGGCATGTCATCTTGTGAGTTGTGACAATTTGCAGAATATAGGATTTATTGGCAACTAATTTTATAATTCGGACTTATCTGTAAATTTTCAACACATTTTTATTTCAAAGAAAGTTTTGTATAAATTAATTTACCGAAGACGTTTCCCCAGTCAATCTGAGAGATATATAATAGTTTTGGCCGTTTTAAAGAATGTGCTATGCTTCATATAAAAGTAGGGGCAAAGTTCAATGATTCTTAGATTAAAAAAATAACATACCAACTTGTGATTCCTAGTAAAAAATGTAAAAGTGTATCATATTTTTACTTCCAAAAATGTTTGCGCAAATCGATTTATTATTTATCGCATTTGAAAGTCAAATTTTATTCCATAAAGATACTGCATGGCATCTTTTACTGCCTCACACATCCTTAAATATACAGGCAAACCGAACGGTAAACTTGATAAAAAATAAGAAGACCAATTATTGTAACTTTCTTGGTATGAGATATCTTTTAACATTTTGCAGCTATGTTTAGACACTAAAGTAACTAAATCTACGTTATAGATTGTGTTTTGCTATCAGATCAGTGCCAAGTTGAAAAAAAATGAAAGCACCTAATTTTATCTATACTTTGAGAACTGAGGGTCTGATAGCAGATAAGGCCTTAATCAAGTATAACAAATAGAAAACATTGGTCAGAAAATGAAAGACTAATTAAAGAGGCAAAAAAAAAGAGATTTTGATGCTCATACCGGATAAGCTTCCACAAATTGAGTTGATGATTCTTGGCTTGGGTGATATTGTGCTCTTTCGTTTGCCTTTGTTTTTTCCCTAAAAATGAGCAAGATTATAGTCCTCAAAATATGAAATAAAAATTGAAAAAGTTAAAGCAATATAATCATGCGTTCCACTTGATTATTATATTAGGCGTTTGGGGACGCCGTGTCCCTATTTATTTGCTTTCTAGCAGCCTTTGGACCAAATGTAAAAGTCAAAATAAAAAGGCAATCTTATGATTTTTTTTTTTTTGGAGACGTCAGAATTTTTATTTTGCATCAATGTATTTCGAAAATTAATTATCTGTTATATCCTTTTCCAATTTGGTTCACTCATCTTATGAATTATCTTTCTGTTCATCTAACCCTAATACTGTTGGATTCAATAAATAATGATGTTTTATGTCATCATTATTATTCGTAAAAATTTAATATGTTACTATTAGAAAATATTTTGTCAATGTTTAAAATTTTAATGCTCACATTTTTATTAATGAAATTAACGATATTATTGTTATGAAGATAACTTAAAAAAATAAATTTTTAAATTTTATTTATCAAGCTATGATTAAAAAAATTAAGTAAAATACAAAAAAATTATGAAAATACCTGAAACCCCTTTTGAAAAGTCCCATCTACGACGAATGTACTTCATTGTGAAATCTTTTAAAATATTATATATTTCTCAAAAAGTGTAACTAACTAATTTCTTTGTTCTTAATGAGTACATCTACCGAACTTTAGTCATATAATTGAATCAAATTAAATATTCTACAGCCATATAGTAAAATTAGAAAAGGATTGATACACACAGAAGATAATAATACTAATAATGTGTAGGGAACATATGTTTCACATTTCCCCTCATTGCAAAATGGGTCTCTCAATTCTCAAAGCATAAATAGCTTGTTAGATGCTGATAATTGCTGCTGTCAATTGCAGGCTACATTTTTTCTTCTTTCTTTCACCTTTGCATCAATCTACAAGGGGGAAAAAGTAGGATCACAAAACATTAAATTTTGTTACTCTAATATCTGAACATAGCAGAGGCCCCAAAAAAACCTGTTATTAGAAAAAGAAAGCTGAACCAAGACATTTGATCTTTCTCATTTTACTCTGGATTAGGGAAAAAATCATTCTTTTCATCTTGATGATATCTTCATGAAACATTAAGTATGTAATTAAGACACTTCGATTCTTCATAATGAAATTTTGAGTTAGTCAATTGATGATGATGAATGGCTCTCCTTTCAGGTTGCTATTAATACTAAATGGCGGAGGTGGGAGTGTCGGTAGCAGCAAAACTTGTTGAATATCTAGTGGATCCAACTTTACAGCAACTGCAATATTTGTTCTGTGTCGGAAAAATCACCAGAAATGTTCAGATCAGAAAGGAGGAGCTGATACTCAAGCAAGGGAGGGTACAGGAACGTGTTCAAGAGGCCATCAACAGGACCGAGAGGATTGATGGTGAGGTTGATAAGTGGAAGAATGATGTAGAGAATCTCATAGCAGAGGTGGAGAAATTGGAGGAAGAACTAAGGGCCAACAATGGCTGTAATCGACGATGGTATCCCACTTGGAGGAGATATTGTCTCTGCAAAAAGTTGGCTAAGACAACCCAGAGGATGATTGATCTAAACACAAAGAGTGATCGCTTCAATCCATTTTCTCATCCTGTTAGTATTCCAGGTATAGAGTATCACTCTTCTAAAGGTTTTATGTTCTTTGAGTCAATGAAAAAAGCACATGATGAACTATGGGCAGCATTGCGAGATGATGATAGCTCTATGATCGGGTTGTGGGGGATGGGCGGTTCAGGCAAAACCACATTGGTAAAGGAAGTAGGAAAGAAAGTCAAAGAATCAAAGCTATGTGATGAGGTTATAATTGCAACAGTTTCCCAAACTCCAAATATTATGAAGATTCAAGGTGAAATTGCGGACTTATTAGGACTCAAATTGGAGGAAGAAACTGAAGTGGGAAGGGCAAGAGGAATTGCATTGAAATTACAAAGTTCAAACAAACGAATTTTGATTATATTAGATGATGTATGGGATACGCTGAACCTTGAGGATATAGGAAATCCCCATAGGGATGAAGGCCCAAGAAACTGTAAAATTCTTCTCACCACACGTCGTCAAGACGTGTGTACTATGATGGATTGCCAGAAAACAATTTCCTTGGGTTTGTTAACAGATGGGGAAGCTTGGGATCTATTTCAAACTCATGGTAGAGTAGATGATGGTGTTAGAAAAGTGGCCCAAGAAGTTGTCGCTGAATGTAAGGGACTACCCATTGCAATTGTGGCCATGGGGAAGTGCTTAAGAAGAAAAGGACCCGATGAGATGAATGTGGTATTGCACAGGTTGAGACATTCAAAGCCACTTGATGAGGATAAAGCTTTTACTTGTCTTAAGCTAAGCTATGATTATTTGAGAACTACAGAGGCCAAGTTGCTGTTCTTAGTATGTGCTATGTTTCCTGAAGATCATGAAATCGAAATTGAAGATCTTTTTAGGTATGGAGTTGGATTGGGCCTATGCAAAGATGCTGACTCATTTGAAATAGCAAGGAGCCAAGTTCGATCAGCTATAAATGTTCTCGTTGACTCTTCATTGTTGATGTTTTCTGTCAACTTCAGAAAAGGAAAATGTGTGAAAATGCATGATATGGTTCGTGATGTAGCTTTATGGGTAGCAAAGCAAGAGAATAGTACCATTATGGTAAACAATGCAAAAGCATGGAATGAATTGATTTCTGATGAAGTTATAAAAGATTGCTATGCTATATCCTCATGGTATGATGATGGTATATTATTTCAATTTTTGCCTCAACTGGGTGCTCCAAAACTTGAGTTTCTATTGTTACATTCAGTGGAACTTGTTGATATATTACATGCATCATTTAAAGGCTCTACAGGACTCAAGGCATTGATTATTATGTGCAAGAATTGGCATATGATTGAGCTACAACCTCAATCAATTCAACACTTGTCCAATCTTCGAACTTTGCAATTGCAAGGTTGGTATTTTGGTGACATCTCTTTCGTGGTAAGTCTTAGAAAACTTGAAATTCTTGATTTGCGAAGTAGTTGTTTTGAAAGAATGCCAGATGGAATTGAAAAATTAAACAAGCTGAAGTTGTTAGATTTGTCAAGTTGTAGGATAGATGAATGTTGTTATAAAGCAATAAGAAGTTGCTCACAATTAGAAGAGTTGTATGTCTCCAAAACATTCTCCACACGCAAAACATGCAAATTGCTATGAATATCTTGTGGGTCCTAGTGTTATGATGAAACTGAGAAGGTACAACATAGAAATTGGAGGGGATGCCAAGTACTTGGAATTTCATGATCAAGGCACAAGATCCTTATGCTTAGGTCAGTTAAATATGTCTATGTTAAGCGCAACAATTAAGGATCTTGCACGAAGAGCAACAATAGTTGAATTTTACGGGCTTGAGGGAGGTGGCAAAAGTTTCATGCCTAATATTGTCCAAGCCACAGGAGGCATGAATGAGTTAACCAAACTCTATCTTGAAAGATGTTCAGAGGTCGAATGCATCACTGATAAAACTACTCCTTATGAAGATGCGATTGTCCCCAGATTGAATGAGCTAGTGCTAAAAGATATGGATAATCTTAAACAACTACATTGTGGTCCTTCTCCTTTTAGGTTGTTCCAAAAGTTGGAAAGACTAAGTTTATTCAACTGCCCTCAATTGGTGCACTTATTCCCTGCTGATTGCAACTTAGGCAATCTTAAATTTCTCAAAATTTCCACTTGTCCGATGTTGACGTCTCTCGTCCCTATAGCTGTTGCTTGCACTCTATTATCTTTAGAGGAGCTTCAAATAGAATGTTGCAATGAATTGAAGCATGTAATAAAGGGAGAGGGTTATGCTGATACATGGGAGAATGCGAGACTTCCGAAACTGAACATTTTGTTTATTGAGGATTGCTGCAACTTAGAATATGTATGCCCAGTCTTTTTAGCTCAAAGGTTGGAAATACATCGTCTATCCATAATAAATGCTACTCAGATGGAAGTTGTGTTTGGTGAAAATGTTGGTGAAGAACAACCAATGCCGGATCAAGGTGAGACTCAGCTAGTGCTTCCTTTTTTGGAACATCTCAACCTAAGAAGTCTTCCGAATCTTGTGGGAATTTGCTCGAAGAGGTATCATCCAAGGTGTCCATTTATAAAAATAATAGAATGGAGGGATTGTCCAAACATGGTACGCAACTGCTCTTTAATTTGTTTTGCAAAAAATGTTAAAATTAGTAGTTTCTTATATAAAAAATATATTTGACTTATTGTGAACTCCATTTTTTATATAAGCATGTGGCCGATCTTTATTGGTTTAATTTTAAAAAAAAAATCACAGACCAAGTCTATATCCAAGAATATACATATAGAATTTGTTTAGGAAATAATTAATGGTTTTGATTCCTTCCCCTTTTTTTGCCTTTCACAAAGGAATTGCAGGAACTTAAGGGTCATCAATTGAGGAATGAAGTGCAAATTCCAACACTTCAATGCCTTAAAGAACTAGCTCTAGAAAATTGTGCGAGATTGAAGTTTGTCTTTTCTGCCCATATCTGTCAAAGTCTTCCAGAGTTAACTTCTGTAATCATATCTCACTGTGAGGAGTTGGAGGCAATTTTTGCGAGGAATGAAGAGACTCAAAAGAATCCATCCATTTCTGAATCCTCTCTGCTAAAATTGAAAAGCTTGAAAATATTTAAGTGCAACAAGCTTAAATTTGTTTTATCTTTCATGATCAATGCTGCTACCTTGATGCTTCCACAACTATGCACTCTAATCGTATCAGATTCTTCGCAAATGGAAGAAATTTTCAAGTGCTCAAATAGTGAAGATAATGATATTGACAAAAAAAGGGAGATTACATTCCCAAACATGGAATATGTGGAACTTAATAATTTGCCTAGACTTGTGAATGTCTGCCAAGGGTTTAAGCGGTTTAAGTTGCACACAAGGGATTCTTGCATAGTTAAGGTTCACGGCTGCCCAAAACTTTTTCCAGTTATGAGAGCAACCATTAATTGGACTAAAGGGGTAAGTAATATTCTGCATTTGTATTTCTCAATGCTTCATTTTCCATACTGCAAATCTTGTTTATGTATTATTCTGCAATATTATAAATTGACGCTAGGTGGATATTTTATGCTTCTATTTTTGACAAAGGTTCTCATTATCTTTCTGAATGTTTTGTTCATTTAAGGTAATGAACTCCGATATAATATCTTCATTATTTTCTCACATGCATAAGATCATATCTACATATAAAAGCTTGTTCGAAAACAAATGCTACTGCATACAAATCAAAGCTATCAAATTTGTGAATTGCATGTGTTAACTTGTGCTCCTTCAATAAATTAAATACCAAATAAAAGATGTCATTTCTCTACAGTCTGATCGATAGGAATCACATAATGTAGTGAAACATGAAGAAGCATTTGACATAACAAAGTAGTTACATTATGTTAAATGCATTACAATCTCCAGTCTCATCTAGAGTGTAAAGATTTTGGTTACTTTGATCTCTTGTCTTTTCGTGACATTTCCAAGGAATTTATAATACATTACCCCCCTTTCTCTTTTATATGCAGAGACTTGTAAGGGAGTATGAGTTGAAAGGCAGCCAATTAAATAATAACAACGAGGCTCTCAATCTTCCACTTTCTATTCTAAATGCTGGAGAGCTTGATATTCAAAGTCCTATAGTAGAACACAATTGGCGAGTCATTGGTGATGGTCAAGAGCAAGAAGAAACCAACGGCTTAAGTCTTGTTCCCACACAAGTTTTGAGCTTCCAATATGTTCATTCCTTGGAAGCAACTCACATTAAAAAATTGAAGTTTCTATTCTCAATGAGCACTATTGTCAACAAAGGCCTTCCCAAATTGACTTCCTTAACCTTATCTGATTGTGAGGAATTGGAGGTGATTTTTGGACATAGTAGGGCAGAGGATGCCAACGACAACAGTGAGACAATTGTGCTTTCAAGCTTGAGGAAAGTGTGGCTAACGAATTTGCCAAATTTGATGAGTGTTTGTCAAGGGTCGCAGTTTCAGGGGCAGCTGAGCCACATCAGCATACGCAACTGCCCCAAATTTTTGGATTCAAGTTTGGGAAGAGCTCTTCAACAATTGGGAACAATATTGGTATGACCGAATATTCTATATCATCTTTGATTAATATTGGATTACAATCATATAATATCGTTTTGCTAGCTGCAACTGTATAAGTTAAATAGGGAACTTATAAATTACAAAGAGACCTTCAACGACATGAAGAATAAAAACAATAGTTGATGTATGTACACAACTAGGTTTCCTTTCAGTCTCAGAGCACAATAGATGAAAATATTGAATATACATGTGATTTCATTTCATGTTGTTTTTTGAAAAAAAAAATTAAATGTTCATTGAAGATATTCTTTTTAAATTTTCATGTACAACCATATATCAAAATTTTGACTATGAAATTTCACCCAAAAAAATAAATTGACAATGAAAGGATAATTGTGTGTTTAATCATATACATTCATGTATAAATATTTGTATGTCAGCAAGGAGTTTGCTCGGTATTCTTACAACTTTTCTTATCTTTTTTAAATCCAGGTCTTCAAAAAAAAACTTTTACTACTAAATTTGATTGATGTGAATAAACATTTGTCTTTTTTAAATTGAAACTGTAGTTTTCGCAGGTTTCAACCGAAGATTCCAATGTTCGAACTTCATCAAATGGAGAAGAACCATTGGCTGGAAATGAAGAAAAAGGGATGATCTTGATTTCAAGAGTAGAGCATTTGTCTGTGGAGGATTCAATCAACCTCATATCCATATGGGAGGATACCACTTTCATCATCTTCCAAAATCTTGAGGAGTTAGCTGTGATTAATTGTGGAAAACTGAAGCGTATATTCTCTAGCACCGTGATCAGAAACCTACCATGTTTAAAAAGAGTCTGCGCATTAAAGAATGTGAAGAGTTGGAGGAAATGATGTCATCAGAACATCACTTTCCAGATGCATCCTCAAGTTCCTTCTGCTTCCCATTACTTGAAACTCTTGTTGTCTTTAGATGCAGAAAGTTGAGATGCCTCTTCCCCTCTCTGCCCTCTACTCAACATCATCTTCCACAATTGCGACAGATGACGATTGGAGAGTGCTCTGAACTAGAAGGACTTTATAATTGCGACGAACATGAAATCCATGAGGAAGGCTTCATCAACAACATACTTCCAAACCTCACATTTTTTCTGGTCAAGAATTGCCCTGTCTTTTCCAACACCACACTTGCTGCTCTTGAAAGGCAGATACGCTGGTAACTATCCATATTTACCATTCAAATAAGGCGAATTTACAACTGAAAACATATCTATACATTATTTAATACTCAAATAATATAAATTTACAAATGCAATAATGAGTATTTAGTATTAGTGGTCCTTAGGCTTAGTTTTCCTTTATATATATATATATATATATATGTATACACACACCTACAAAGACTGTCTTTTCTTTTTGAAAAGACGTAATATTGACATGAAAGTTTTCTCATATTTGTACAGTCGGCTGGGGTTATTGCGATGAAGATAATTTCTGTTACTATGACGGAGGAGGATATGAATGCGATGGTGATGCTTTGAGATTGTGTCTGCTTCTTGTTCCTGCATTAAATTACGAAAGAGTTGCAATTGTGCTTGTGATAGTTGCCTTACAATGTTTAATATTTGCTTCATTTTTATTTTTGAACACTTTGGTTTGTTGTCTACACAAACAAGTGATACTTTCTGCTTTCTAGAGTTTCAACGAACACCTGTGCCTATCCATATTCAAGGCAAAAACAAGGTATATTTGAGCTGATTTTGATTTCCAAGTGACATTAATTAAGAAAAAATTATCACTTTGAGTAAATTTCAATTAATATATTCTTAAACTAGAAACTTCTCCTCACATAAAAGTTGATGATTAATTAATAATTAATTATTAAGGTATTAATATTTCAACTAATAGATACCATGACGTATTTAATTTTTAGCCATTCTCTCTTTTGTAATATTTGACCACCTCAATAGCCTTGAAAAATGAGATATTCTAAACCCAACCTGATCCATTTTGAAGCGAATCAGATATTACAAAATTTTTATGTATAAAGTTGATGATGATGATGATTATTATTATTAAATGTTAAGCTATAAATTTGCCTCCAAATTATTTTTCCAAACTTATTGATTACCTAAAGTGTAAAAGTGTAAAACGGTGCAATGTCAGTACGGAATTATTAATAAATTTGCTTTCAATGCCTTTCGTTTTCTATATTTATCTATTTTGCCTTCACAAATAATTCATAAGGTAATTGTACATGTTAAAGGATTTTCTCCAAAAGTAGTTACAATGCATATAATTAAGAAGAGTATTTTGAGAAAGACAATATTTACAAATAAATTATTTAGTTCTTATATTAAGGATTAAAGGTACTACATGTTAACATGTAATTAAACCGGCATTTAATACATCAAACATATATATAGAAACCTAGCATGTGACGAGAATCTTGCCAATAGAAAGATGGAGAAGATAAACATAAAATAAGATCATGTAAGGCATGCTCAGGAAAAGTACTAAGATTACCAACTATACACAAACACAATCCCAGTATGAAAAATGCTGTGGGCGAAAATGTACAGGCTAAAGGATATATTATAACAATGTAACTTCTCAAGTTAAAGCTTTCGAGGGAGAGAAAGTATTTACGAATACACACATATATCCAACCACAAAACAATTTAATATTTGGAAGCGTTGTTCAGTTCATTCTCACTAACTTTTGACAAGTAAAATACTGGGCATAAGTCAATACATAGAGAATGGCTATGTTCTCTAGTACGACATGATAGATTTACAATGTTCTTTGTTGTGAAAGAAATAACACAAAACAGAGCAAAACAGAGCAAGGCGATTGCTCATAACAAAAACAAGAGATTGTAAATATTTTTTGGTTGGGGGGGTTGCGCTTGTTGATAAACACACCCACTTGTCAACAAGCCTTCAAGAATATGTAAAACAAGATGTGATTGTTCACAAAAATACGTAATTGTAAATAGAATGAGGGGTAAAATGTGCAAAAATGCCCTTTACAATGTCCAAAAAGAGTACCAGGTATCATAAAAAAATATTGGGAGCAAAAATACAAATGAACATTTTAAAACAGAGCAAAAATGCCACATCCGTTAACTCTGATAAATGTCTGTTATTATTATTATTATTTTTTTGCCTCACCCAATGCCCACGTGTCAAGTGCTTCCATCCTACTCAACCCTGCTTCCTTCTCATCCTTCCTCTCTCTCGGGCTGGAGCCTCTATAATCTCTTACCCATTCTTGAAGCCACTTTGCCTCTCTCCTCCTTACTGAACATTTCATCTTTGTTTCTTCACTTCACGCCTCATTGTCCCCCCCCCCCTTCTGAAGCTATGATAAACCGTTCACTCAACTTCTACCTCCTTTTCTCCTTCTCTTGCGTTTTTGCCAGTGCCACTCCTTGCTCCATTAGTCTCAACTACGGCACCGTGTCCTCTTCCTTGCATCCTCACCTTCCTTTTATCATCAATCAACATCGACCGTGTCATAATATTCAATGCCTACCCCCTTATACTTTGTGCCTTTGACAACACTGGCATTGTCGTCACCGTTAAAAATAGCAACATCCTTACTCTCTCCAAGCTTGCCGCCGCTCAATCCTGGGTGTGGTTGACAACATCCTTCCATTTCATCCTAATGCTATAGCTGTTTGACTTCCACACTATTTGTTTGTTCTACTCGACTTTTATTTTGTTGTGTTGGCTTAAAATATAAGGCAACAGGGTTGTAAGTTGCAGAGGGAGAGGGGGGAGAGAGAGAGGAATGAGGCATGAAGTGTAGACTGAGTTGACCAAGATAAGAGACCGCATGGGAAGAGGCGAAGAGCATTGGACACGCGGATACCAGGTGGGACCCACAACATAAAGTAACGGACATTTATGAGAGTTAACACAAGTGGCACTTTTGCTCCTGTTTTAAAATATTCTTGTCTATTTTTGCTTCCGATATTTTTTTTTTAATGGTGTCAGGTGCTCTTTTTGAACATTGTAAAGGGTATTTTTGCACTTTCGTCCTGGAATGAATTTGAAAACCAGCTAAGATTAAGTTATGAAGAACTTGACTCCAACAAGGCCATTTCTTTTTGAAAACCTTTTAGATTTAATCGGTTATAAATTTCTTAACTACATTGAAAATTTCATGACCAAATAGATCCTTACGACTCTTCAATCTTCGGTACATTGATTTGATTCTTTTGCCTCACTCTTTCAATTAACTGTACATTTTCATCTTTGCGAAACAATCTTCTCTATGTTTTGTAATCGTCAAAACATGCAAAAAAAATCTAACATTTTCTTCTCCTTTTTTGATGATGACAAAATATTGATTTAACAAATTAGTACTAGAGAGGCTTGCTCCCCCTCAGCCTCTGCGTAAACATAATTGTGAACGAATTATAGAAGAATAAAAAAAAAAATCCGATCCATAGATTAGAAACAATGAACTGAAATATATGAACAGTGTATACAAGATCATTCATAATAAGTGATCAGTTTCAAAAGCGAAAGCATAATTTACTAACAAATGAAAAATTCAAAGACATAAAAAGATGCACCAACGAACGGTTGGCACTATAGTTGAATTGTCAGGAAAGGAATTACGTATTGCGAATTTTGAGTCTGGAAAATAGGAAAATTGACAACAGTTGGGTTTATTTGTGCTTTGCTTGGGCCAGCTTTTTCATTAGAAGATTGTGACATTATAAGGGAGAATGACAAATAACCAAGGCTAAAATTGGGATATCCTAATTTGGGAAGCGAAAAGTTGGAAATGATAGAAAAAAGTTATTCCCAAATTAAAATTTTAAAATTCAGAAAAAATAGCAAAAATACCCTTTAAACAAAAAAGTTCAGCCCTTCGCCAACAACTGGTCGCCGACCATCGGCGTCAGGCATGGGTGTAGTGGTTGCCAACATAGTGTTTTTTGGTGACATATATTTTGTTTTGCTATGTGAGAAATTATTTAAGAAAAGTAGCAGGGGTAGGATTTGATCCCACTACCCCTTAGTCATTTGAGCCAACAAAAAAAAAAAAGATGACCATTGGGCCAATAATAATTTGTCAATTTTATAATACAAAAAAAAAATAAGTTGACTCTTTTATCGTAGCTCCAACTCGTAACATCAATTTATCTGGGATGACAAGTCTTAATTGAAAAATAATAAGTCTAAATTTAATATTAACAAAATGTTTTTTTCCTGATACATAACAGGAAATAACATATGCACTAGCTAAAAATGACAACAATTTATCTTAAAATGACATGTCTTAATTGGGAAATGACAAGTCTAAACTTAAGATTAACAATATGTTTTTTTCCTAATACATAATAGGAAATAATGTGCATATTAATTAAAAATGAAAACAATTTATTTGGGAATGATAAGTATTGATTTTGAAATGACAAGTCTTGACATACATAATATGAAATAACATGTGAATTAATTAAAAGTAACGACAATTTATTAATAAGCCTTGATTGTGAAATAAATTGTTCTCACAAATAATACTTTTAACAGTTTCAATTAACATCTGTGCCTATATATGAATTATAATTCATTCATTTTTAGCAGAATGTCATTTCTAGCGAAGATATATGAATTTTTATAAATAGTTTTTTTTTTGCTTGAAAGAATTAAAAAGCCGAAATGATTAAAAAAAAAAGAAGAAGGAAAAGATAGATGAGATAACACGTCGATGCCTTTTCCATAAAGATCAATAAATAAAATTTTCAATGATTTTGGATTATTTTTTTATTTTTGGGTTAAAATGCAAATTTGCCGGAAAGTTTTCGGTCAACAGTGTTGGACGCCAGGAAGTTTTTTTGGATGTAAATTTAGCTTAAAAGTTTAAAAATGTAGCAAATTTGCCCATACTACCATTAAAAATATTAACGATCAATGTTATTATTTTAATAGTCAGTGTTAGTGTTTTAACGGTATAGAACAAAATTACTATAATCTTAAACTTTCAATAAAAATTTGCACTGAAAAAAATTTTCAGGGCAAATTTGTATCATAACCTTTTATTTTTTATTGAGCACTCTTAGGAGATTGAGTTTAGATTATAAATATTATTTAAAAATTTTGTCTCCATTAAAGTTATTAAGTTTATGGTAAACTATATTTTCAATATGCTTAAAATGTGCATTTTGGGCTATTTTAGGGAATTGATTAGATAATAATTGCATTATTGATTAAATAATATATTAATGCACATGGATTAAGAATCTGATCAAATATGGCATTCTGTTAGGATTTTGAATGAATTTTCAGATTGGAATTTATTTTCTGGATTTCATTCGAATTACTTACAGGGGGCAAAATGGGGAAGAGATTGGATTCTGGAGCTGAGTATAGGCTAACTTTGGGCCAGGAACAGCCGGTTTACATTCAGGCCCAGCCCAAGTGAAATAATAGGGAGATCTAATTAATGAAACGTTGCGTTTTGGAAGGAACCAGAGAAAGAGGGAGATTCTGTTAGGGTGTGTGTTTGGTTGGAGGGGAGGGGAGGGGAGGGAAAATGAGCCCCTCCCCTCATTTGGTTAAAAATTTTAGAGGGAAGGGGAGCTAAAATGTCTCCTCCCCTCCCCTCCCCTCCCTCCCTCCATTTTGGCTCCCCTCCAAATTGGGGGTTTTTGGAGGGGAGTCAAAATTTTGGACCATTATGCCCTTATGGTTTTTTTAATATTCTACTTCTACCCATAAAATATATTATTATAATATTTATTTCAAATAAAAAATATATTATCCTA